GGTAGGATAGGAAGTGCCCAAGGAGCTGCAAGAAGGCTTCCTGGAGAAAGGGGGCTCTTTGCTAAGCAAGGAACTGAATGCTTATGAAATAAAATTAGGGCAAGGGGCATGAACGTTCTAAGTACCAGGGCAAGTGTATGCAAAGTACTGCAGGAATGAGATGTTCTGGCTTATTCCAGAGAGTGTTTTGAGATGGGATAGCATAGGAAGTGGCAGAGGGAGTTGGTGGACTTGGTACGCCATGCTAATACTCAGACTTTTACTGAAGGCAATAGGAAGACATTGAAGAATTTTAAGAAGGGAGTAACAAGAGTTCATAGCAAGTAGAGAGGAAGGTTGTAGGCACTGAAAACAGATCTGGGGGAAAACACTTCAGATTAGTCCTTGATTTAACAATAAGTTAAGGATAGAGCTTAAAAGTCAGATAATACTGTAAAAGCTAGATAAGAAATATTTGTTTAACTTTGCCAGCTTTAATGTGTATTTAACTTGGATGGTTTAACTTAGTGTCTTTGAAGACATTACTTGGGTGACAAGGAAAGTATTTCATTGTTGAAGTTATTTGTCAAGATTTCTAATAAAGCACTTGTGGCATTTCACTGTTATAGAGATCAATAGTAAAGTTAAAGAATAACTGTGAGTAGAAATCATAGCTGCTGATAGAATTAACTTCGTGACACCCAAGTTGAAGCCCAGGTGACAAAGTAAAAATGTAGATGTGTTCAGAGAAAACAACCTTAATACAAATCACAAGGGGAAGCCTAGAACCAATTTTACTCACGAGTATCCTTTCATGAAATTTACTGGTCAAACACACCAAATAAATAATAAAAAAGACTTTTACAATATAACAAAAGCAGGAATTTGGCATTTTGTTAATTATGTCAACATCCTATTACAGAAGCCAATAATGGGGAATGAATCGATCAGAATCTGAAGAAGAGAGGCAATTTAGAAAATTTGGACAAATAACATTGTTAATATAGCATAAGCATGGGAGTTGAATTAGTCTGGCTGTAAAGCACAATCACGTTAAATGTGTTAAAATTATACTGAAAGTTGATTGAAAGCGAAGTTTAATTATTTCAAGAAAAATAAATACTGAAATCGAGACCCAATATAAACTTGTTTTTACTGAATATTACACTGAGTAACCAAAGGTAACATACAGTAAATATCAAAGGTTCTTTTTGTTTTGACACTGCTGTGCCTCCCAAGAAGGATAAGCTCTAATCAATCTTTCAAACCGAAAATGGAGTGGGGGTGGGAAAGACAGAAATCACTCTAAAATATAAACGAAGTCCTTAAAATTACACACAGTCAAGTTAACACCATTTCCAAGTGTAAGCAGATACTGCTTTCCCGGGTGAAGAGTTTACTATTAGGGGTACTTTCAAAACCAAGACACTTGGAATAAACACTGAAACAAAGGAGAGCTATTTTATTCCAAGGCCTGTGCACATATGGAACCTGTTAAGGGGATGGTGGCTGCAGGAAGGACTACAAACGAGGGTGAGAGTCACCTAGGCTGTCCCAGAGAGGAAGGGATGGGGCGAGGGTGGGTACGGAGCAGAGAGTGGGCCAGAGATCAGTCAGATGGGAGTGAGACCGGCTGTGGGGCAGATGGTCTTTTCTGTTCCAAAATGTTCAAAGTTAAGGTACACTCCTTACCACACTTTCATTTTATACAAAGAGTGAACTAAGAAGAAACCAAGGGTCTGTCAGAGTTTTTTCTGGAGTTACTTGTGTCATTTCTTTGATAAACTTTGCTTGTTTATATAATTCATTTGCTGCCTTCTTCAACCAAGGCCCTCCCTGGGGGCTCTCTCCATAACCCTGGGCTTACAGTGAAAAATGTCAATTAATTAAGAATAAGGTTCCTGTGCACATTTTGTAGTTATCAATGTTAGGTTCCCTTCCTGTGAAAATTTCCAGGGAAGATCAATATTTTTCAACAAAGTGCAATGCTTGCTTATTTTCCAAGTTTAAGACCAGTCTGATTATGGAAATGGTAGTTTTCACAGTCCATTAAAAATTAATGGATACAGATGAAAAAAAAATGGCTAACTTGCCTTGCTTGGGCAGAGTGGAATAATAACAATTGACGGGCCAAGCTAACCTGACTGGCACCTGACAGGGAAGATGAATTTCCTAAGATACATAACAGATCTTACATGGCTGCCAGATGGAAGTCAATATTTAGTCTCATTAATCAAGCTCACAGATCTTATAGGGACACTGTGAGAAATAAAAAGCAAACAAGAGAAACACTTCTTTGAAGAGCTAAACTCCTAATGGGGAGGCCAGAATAAACGTCTATAACACACAAAAATGCTAAGAATGAAAACATACAAATCAACTCTATGTAACCAATGAGAGATTGTACATAGTCAGGGACTTGTCCCAATCAGGTCAGTATGTAGCAAATGCCAGCCTTTACATACACTCCACCTGGCGAGATACAGCTATTCCAGGCTCAGGGCTGACGCATGCAGGTAAACTACGACATTCTGGCTTCGGTAGTGTAGTTGGGATCTCACATGGACCTGCACTTTTCACTGGGCTATTTATAAAGGAAAGTCTCTGAGAGAAAGACTTAATGATAGGTATCCTAGGAACCCAATCTATCCCACAAGAAAGAATTAGGCATCAACAAGAGAAAACTCATTAAATGCCTATACGATATGATACACATTAACAGAATTATGAATGGTTTTAACTATCTGTAATATATAGAAAAATGTCCTTTTAATTTTTATATTCACTTATAAATTAGTAAAACAAGTCTATCTTCAATTAAAATTAACATGCAAGGACTTGTGCCATGCCAACCACTATTAATCTAACTGACCAAATTTATCCTCCTTAGTTACAATGAAAAGAAAACATATGGATGCAAAAATTGCAGATACACCATCTAGTGAGAACAATTAGAAGAAAATAAGACTGACTGACCCAGAGGCTGTGGTTCATATACCTGACTGGGAATGTGTTTTATGGACAATCAGCTTTCTTTATGTTTTCTGATTCTTGCCAAAGTATCTACTTATGAATTTGAATGACAAACAGTGCTGATTAAACATAAGGAGTCAGGACAAATAAAGGGCAAGTCCAGCTTTATTTCAGGGTTGCTAAAGGCAAAATGTAATAAGGATACTCTTTAGAGTCAAGGAAGTACCAGCCAGAAAGGCCAATGGCTTTGGAGACAGGCCTGAGTTCAAATACTGGCTTCACCTTTTAATAGCGTTGTGGCTCTGCACAAATATCTCAGCCTACTGACCTTTCCTTTCTTTACCTGTAAAACACCTAATGCCTCCCGTAAAGGTTGTTACGGGGAATAAACAAATGCAAAGTCCTTACTTCAGTGGATGACATGGATGAACTAAGGAGTAGGAGAAGAGACCCACGTGTAAAAACCAGAATTATCTTCTGGAGGGTGGGCCCCTTGTAGTACAGGCTTCCTCTGTTAGACGAGTGTTCTAGAAAGCCATTTGTATCAGTGTATCAAGTGGCATTGTTGTGAGAGGCTGCATTTGGCTTCAGTAAATGTTTTTGCAAACTCTTTCAACATGTTTCCCCATTGCGTGATGGGTGATTTAAGAGTGCACCCACCCACACCACACTGAGTGTTCAGCAGTTTTTGACAAAAAAGGCATGGCCCCCATAAGCCCCCCTCCCTATATGCCCTTGACCTGAGTGATATTTTTTTGTTTCCCCAGGTGAAAAAAGTTCTCAAAGGGAAACATTTTGTCAACATGGAAGAGGTGAAACAAAAAAGAGCAGAAGCCCTAAAAGCCATCAAAATTGATGAGTTCAGAAACTGTTTTGAACAGTGGAAAAAAGTCTCAATAGGTTTACTACATTAAATGGAGAATACTTTGAAGGTGACTTAAGTTTAAACGTGTAAGACTAAATACACAATTTTTTATAAATAAATTCTGTTTTTTGGAGCCCTCCCTCATATGTCCACAGAGCACAAAGAAGCTTTCCTGGACAGAGTAGAACTTCCAAAACCAGATTACTTTGGCATTTGTTCTAAAATGAACTTTACATGTTGCCAAACTCATTAGATTAGATGAGTGGCAGCTAATGAATGAAATTTAAGCAGCTAAGTAATTCACACCCCCAAAAGAGCTTAACAACTATTTTCAACTTTTCTTCTTGTTTATCTAACTTAGAATTTAACTTACATTTGCTGTCTAGCCCAGCGCATCCCAACTTTGTGTGCATTTCAGCATCACCTGGGGACCGCTCAGAAAACACAGCTGCCAAAGGTTCTGCTGTAATGAATTTGCACTGAGTCCTAGGCAGCTGTATATCCCCCTGGTGATTCCAACAGCCAGGGCCTAGACTCACTGGTATAGCTAACTACGCTTGAAAATTTTTGAAAAAAAAAACAACAACAAAAAACAGCTTTATCTATCTTGTCTTAAGAACCTTATTCCAGCCTACTTGAGATAGTGGCCAGTATTACCAAATCATTCCTTTCTTTATAAAAAAACATATAATTAGTGAGCAGAGCTTGAATGTGAGGAAATTTATAAGATCACAATCCAATAATTTTTTTAAGATGAAAAAAGTGGGCATTTTTTGCTTGGAAATATAATGAGTCAGGCCTTATAGCAGATTTCCAGTATAATTAAGTAATGGAGAAAGGTATTTTTAAAGGCCTTTTCTCTTACAGTTATTCTTTTCCTTTTCATTTTGAAGCTATACAAAGCCAAGATAACTATCTTAAAGACAGACTACAGGCAATTCTGATTATGTGGTTTACCAGTTCAATGGAAATCTGATAGTCTTCTTGCACAGAGAGCCACAGTGATTGGAGGACTGGGGTTGGATACATTTTCATGGAACTCTAGTCTAACTCCCCTTCGTTTCACTGAGCGACCCTGAGCAAGTCCCTTAACTGGTCTCCAGTCTAACATGTCCTCTGCACAATGCAATCAGTGCACAGCACCAAGTTCTTACAATGGGCATTATGTTCATCAGCAGCTTACCAGTGTGCTGCCATCAGTCCAGCGGAAGTCATGCTCAAACATCTTGTCATTGAGGCCTATCCACTGGTAGTCATGGCCCACACCTACAAAGACGGTAAATGACACAGATATTTGTATTAGCTTTCCAATGTATGGATGGAATGTAGTAAAAAAAAAAGGATTTCAGGTTGAATCATGTGTCCCCTTCTCTGACTGAATTTTTGTTAGGTTGCTCATAAAAATATTTCATGGTCTAACTTACTTTTGTTCTCCTGCCCAATGTGCTTTAAACTGAAAAGCTAATTTGCAAACATTGCTAAACATAAAAATATCAGACATAGACAATCATTTTTATAACAATTTATTACAATTAGAATGTTTTTATTCATGCTTCCTGATGATAGAAACTTTGGATTTATTTTTTTATTATTATGCCATTAGCAAAAAATTCAGTGACTCAATAAAACAAGACAGATCTTACCCATGCTGGCCTCACTTCAGAAGGCATGTGTTTGTCCTAAAGCAGTTGAAACACTGAATACCCATGCCAGACAGTTTTGCAGAATTTCCTCAAAAATAATGGCTTTTGCCATAAAATTAGTCACAGGTAAGCATACCAGGCAAAAAAATTAAATGAACCTCTATCCAGATTGCAAATTAATAATCACATCTCTAAATGATAGCAGGCATTAGGAGAACATATTTAATCAAGCATCAAACAATGCTTTATGAGCAAAAAAAATCTATATATTTGCTATGTAAAACTTAGCTGCCCTCCTCTTTGCTATAGTTTAAAGAATTAGTAAATAGCTTTGGTGGTAAGTTTCATAGCATTGTCTCCATCTATTCATTATCATAATATGAAAGTCCACCTTCTATGCTCTAAAATAATTAGAAACTTGGATGAGAATGAATGATGTACAGAGGATAAAAATAGGGCACTATTAACAATTCAATCTTAATTACTGGGACAAAAACAACTGAAAGCATGTTCTCTTTAACTTTAGACAGCATATGCATGTGCATATTCAAAACAGAGACCACATAGGCAATAACCATCAGAATAATTATATTGAACCATAAGAGGTAGCCATTTTTGTAAGTCAAAAAATGATCAAAGCAATCTCATGCATTCAATCTGTAGCAGGGGTGTCAAACTCATTTTCACCGGGGGCCACATTAGCCTCACGGTTGCCTTCAAAGAGCCAAATGCAATTTCAACTCCCTAACAGTTAAGGAATAGTTACATTTATACAGTCCTAAAATTATTTCGGGCCCTTTGAAGGCAACCACGAGGCTGATGTGGCCCCAGGTGAAAATGAGTTTGACATCCCTGACCTATAGCATGCTGTTTCACCTCTTAGTACTGGCTAACCAAGAAATTCCTTCCTGTGGTATCGTTGAATGTTTCCCAAAATGGGGGACTCATATAGCGGAGATGAGTTTAAGTAGTTTGTAAATGAAGGACTCAAGTTGAATCAGAACTGAGAAAGCTATTCTTTTTGCTGTTAGTGGTAGATGGAGAGGAAGCTAAGCAGGTGGTGAGGATGAGCGCAGCTTCAAGAAAGCAGTGTGTATTTGGTACATACGATTCACAAACATTTGTTCTTCGTGAGAGAGAATGCTTGTGAGATGGGCACCCTGCAGACGGCACTCCCGCTCAGCTGCATCCCACGTGCGTCGATGGGCAAAGTACTTGTAACACTGCCCTTGGAATTTGTGCCAGCCGTAGTCACACGTCTCGGTGTCTGGGCAGAGATAAGGCAAGAGGCTTAATGAACTCACCTACATCATTTAAACTTGGCTCACCAATCCAAGCGTGAACTGAAGACCCAAGGTATATCAATGCAACATCCCTGTAGTAATGGATTCATAAAACTTGGTCATCATGACAAAGAAAGTATGGTGAAGAGGGCCCAGCTGATTCCTGCCCAGCGAGTGGCTGTACAGCAGGTCAACAGATAAGGTCTTATCATTCTGTTCAACTTTGTTTTGTTATCATGTAGATAATACTGTGGGAACTTAACTCCTGTGTTTTATCAACTAGCCTCGGCTTAGACAGAGGCCTGATACACTCAAATGAAATAAAGACACCATTTCACTTAAAGTCTTCAGAACCTGGAGAGGATGTTTCATGGGGAATTACTATACATTTTTTTTTGCACTGAAAAGACAGTATTTAACTGCAATTTCCTTAAGTAAAGGCAGTTTTAGCAGGAGAGAAGCTTGGAGGAGAGGCCAGTCAAGACCTCCTAGGCTGCAGTGTCTACCAGCTTACTTGTGAAGCAGTTGGGCTAATCCCTTACAAATGAAAGTTTTCTGAGGAGCATCAATGAAGTGATAAGAATTCCAGCTAATAGGATTCTGAATGCTTGCATAAGGACTTCAAAGGTCTGGCAGTAGTCCCTTCCCACTTCCCAGAGAGATAGCAGGTGGCCAGTATCTAGCCAGGTAAGATTTACAAACAGAAACAAATCTTCATCAGTAGGCAGCCTCTGGGATATAGCTAAGGCTGCATGCCTTCTTCCCAAAATAGCAGGAATATAGGTAACTGCAAATGCAAATGTATCCAAATTTTAAGTTTATTCAAAATGACAAAACCTAAGTTCTTTAACTGCATTCCTAGTATTCCACCAAGCCATTTTATTTGGGTTGATAAATATATCTATCTTTTTCCCTCTTTCACAATGAGCGCACTGTAACCAGTGTCCTGGTAGGAGGAACACATTTTTTCAATACATTTAGATTATACACTGGCAGGAAGCTTCAGCTGTACTCCCTGGTTTGCCATTTCTAACGTATTTTCATAGGAAAGCAGCCTTGCTTGTAGCGCTGCACGGTCAGTGGTGATTTCCCTTCAGACTCATGCATTCACAAGTGGGGTTCAACTCTATTTGATAATAATACATAGAAATATTTTTTAATTTTATTTTTATAAAATAATTCTCACAAATATATTTAAATATTACATGTCAAACTAACAAAATTGTAAAGTTCATAGCATTTTAAGGACCAATAAAACTTTCCATGTTACCTAATGACCATTTAAGGGATGACCTTTCTTCCCTTAAATTTACTGATCAATTAAAAAAACCAAACCCTCCTCCATGAAATAAATGCTTGTTTTATGCATCAGACTTGGTGGCTAAATTGAAAGTCAAATTGCCTGATTTTCACTGTTCACTCCTCTTTCTCCAATTGTGGGAACATGCACAACTGGAGAAAGAGGAGTAATGAAAGATGAAATTTTTTCATCTGAGAGATGAAATTCACTTTTTTCTGGCTTCAGTTGTTTGGGCCATAATCATATGACAGATGCAACTTATCTCTGAGAACAGTCTTCATTTCAGTTTAGTCTATCTGGCCTGTTGTTTAGTTACTGCCAGCTGACTAATTGGTTTAAACCATGTGCACTAAAGGCTTTGAGCTTTATTAAAGTGCTGTTTGGAGACGCCAAATCTCATAGGAAAGGACAAGAGACACAGCTAGATGATTTGGTATAAAAGTAGCACTCAGTGCCCAAGAATGAGGCATATTTTGGTTACTTGGATGTAGTAATTTTCTTTTTGTGGAGTTCTCATGAAGGACTCAGAGCTGAGGTACAAGTGGTGGGGAAGGAATCAATCTTCATGTAGGAGGGGGTTAGTTTACATGGGAAGAAAACTGGAAAAATTTTTAGAACACTCTTACTGCCAAGGTCAATAATGCTACATTATAATAGCACAGTGTTGCTTAACCTTGGAGATTATCATTGACTTTAAAACACAGTTTAAAATTCTAGAGGATCCAAATTTACTGAATAAAGCATCGTAAAAATTCCTCTATATATTCTTTCTTATCTTCTATTAACCCAATGGTTTTGGTCTGGTTTTATCTTTTATCAGGAAAATAGATTATCATTACTTTTCCTTTTACACCCATACAAAGAACACATGACCATCACACCTAGATCCACGACCACGTCACTGCTACAACACCTTTCTCAGTCAGCAGGCACACACATTCCTGCCAGAACAGGGATCCAAAAACAGGGCCAGGTTTTCTGTTAAAACTAACAGGGACAATGTATGTATCTGTACTAAAATAATACTTGACAAAGAGGCTTTTTAAAAAGCCAAATATCCACACTGATTCACTGGACTTTTATTCAGTCTATGTGTAAGGAAGAACGTGTGTCAGGCAGCATCTCCTGGGGTTCTCTTCCGAAAGGAGGTATCAGAAGCAGTCTGTTTACCCTATCTTAGCTAAAAGTAGTGTAACACATATTTTATTTATTAAAAGGCAACGCTTTTTGGTGATTCTGTCTTAAAATTCATTTGACATGGAAATACTTTTCATGCTTTAAAATGCCGGCAGTGCACAGGCTGCGTTACAAATCCCCAGGTGTCGTTTTGCCGTGCATGCTGGCGTGTAGGGGGGTGGGGGATGACTCCTGTTCATGACCACAGGAGGTGAAACTGTCACTCTTAAACAATCTCACAAAAAATCCGTTCACTTTATGATATGCATGCAGTGTTTTCAACACCTCTGACAAATAGCTGTCAAGTCTTAAGAAATTGTCAACACTGAGGCACTTCTCACTGGCAAGCTGTATCATTGACTTTGGCTGGGGGCAATCTGAGTGTACAGAACTGTCTTTCCACAGTTCTGAGACCCCATCTAGATCTCAACTCTGTTATCATTCCATCAATATGTAGCCCCATTCCGCAGTTATTGGGAGCTGGGGTGTTACTAAGGCAGAGAACAGAAAAGGTCAGCTGAAGAAACAATGACCCAGTCATCACTGAAATTTGGACAGAAAACTGTTTAGACAACAATGCTGCTGTTAATGAAGAAAGCATTTGTTCTTAGGCAACCTGAAAAAGAGCAGAAAAAAATCTTTCACAGTCCTGGCAGTAAATCACAGAAGCACAGCTGCATCTGGTAAACAGACTGGGGTGGCTCTTTCTCAGCATTGCCTGGATGAAAGTTAAACTTGCTGTAAGATAATACAGAATGTACCTGAAAGTTAGGTGGTACCAGAAATGAGAGGGAAAAATAAACCTTTTTCATGACAAAATTCCTTCAAAGAGGTGGAAAAGGTAACTGGGCCCTGGATCCACCAGGTACATCCATGAACAAAATCCTTATTTGTTTGAGCTACCTTAGAAGAGGAACGATGTTGTAAAAAGCTAGGCTTTAAAAGGCAGCTTAGGTTCATTTTTCCCACTCTCTAATTTATTAGCTGTGTGACCTTGAACACAACTTTGCTCCTCTCTGAGCCTCAATTTCTGACCCATTTATAATACTGCATAGAAATACTGGGTCAACCAAATGCAATGATTCACCTGGAAGCATTGGATTAACTATAAATGATCCAAAAAATAGTATCTCTTCTTCTGCTCTGCCAAGAATTGGGCTGAGTCACCAAGGCCAAGGGCTGTGTCTACATTGTTCGGAGCTCTGTTTGCAGTGCCCAGGACAGTGCCTGGAAAACAATGGGTGCTCCATGAACACCCATCAAACAAACGGTTTTTTGAATTGTTCCTTGTACTTGAAATGAAGGGCAGTCAGAATCATTTACACATATTTTAATAACTCAAGTGTATCACCCTTTCTTCAACAAATATCATTTTTCTCACTGTTTTACTTTAAGAAGGGAAACAATGAGAAAATTCCTTAGTCAATTTTCATATTAGCCTTTTAAAATTCTGAAGCAGATTTATGCTATGCAATAAAGAGAGAGGAAAAAAAAACTCTTAAAAACTCAGCCATCAGCCATCCCCTTCAACTGGCAGTTTAATACAGGCTCCTTTTAGTTTTGCTTTAATTGTGGTGACGTCTGGACTAATGCTGAAAAGCAGAATGTAGGGCCAGACCAATGTGTTTGAGTGTCTAATACATTTTCATTCTGTCTGGTGAAATGGAAGTTTGGCACTAGGCACTTTTGTCAAAGCCAAACCACTGTATGACTTTAAGTAGAGGAAATTGATGTTCCAAAGTTTAGTGTGCTGAGCATGCAATTTGTTTCTGATTGATGGACTAAGAAATGTTACCATTAACCACCTAACATTCACTCTCAGGTTGGCCATAAAATGCAAATTACAGGGATCCTGAGATTTAAGCCATCGTGCACCTAGACCTTTCATTCAGAAAAAGTAAATGCTTCTTCAGTAGGAAAATTCCCTGTTGAGCAGATCCACAGTATCTTTTACATAGTGTTTGCCAAGCCAAAGTTAGTGTATTCTAATAACTATATAAACTCATTCCCCATAGATGATAGACTGTGAAAAATAAGCCCCTAGAGTCACAAGTGCTTAAGGGGAGAAAATAAAGGCAACGAATATTGAATACTCCTCAATACAAACCACATACATGAATTTAGGTTTATTTCTAATTTGTCCTCAGGAAGAATACTTATAACAATGTTCCTTTTTTTTTTGCTATCTAGTCCTAAATTCAGTTCAGTGTGTCTGTGGATAATTGTATTCTATCAGCAAAACAAAAATGATCAAGTCAACACTAGTTTTCAGATATTGTGGACTATGGTCGTGGCAGGAAACCAAATGTATTTAGGTAACTTGTGAATTTCCTCTGTAGGAAAGAATATGCAGTGTGGCCAAAATTACTAAAAACATCCAAATCATTATAGCAAAAGGCTATCTAGAAGTAACATTCAAAATGAAGTATCAATAAGGTTCATTATACAAATGTTGCAATAGCGCTTACCTTGCTCACAAAGTGCACCGACATAGCTGGGGAGACAGAGGCACCTGAATGTATTAAAACCATCAACACATGTGGCTCCATTGCGACAGGGGTTAGAGTGACATTCATCAAAATCTGCAATAAAGTCATGGAAGGTCATAAGAGTACTTTCAAAAAGAGTCAAAGGATTCTTCTGTTCACTGTAAGGCTGCTAGATAAAATACAAGATAGCCAGTTTAATTTGAATTTCAGATTTAAAAGAAAAAACATTTTTTTTAGTATAAGTATGTCCTATGTTATATTTAGGGCACACTTAAAATTTTAAAAAATATTCTTGTTTTTCTAAAATATAAATTTAACTGACCTCCCTATTTCTATATTAGATATTTGCTAAATACCTGGCAACCCTAAGAATATTTCAAAAGTATTAGAGGAGTGTCACTGTATCCATTTCTTTTAAATGAGTCATATGAGCCTTAAAATGAACAGTTTTAGTCTAGCCACCCACCCCAATCCTGGCTCATGCTTCCACGACCTCACTCATGGAATACTGAAAATACCTAACAGCCTCCCAACCCCTGGGTCCTTCCCTCTTCGCTCCGCTGTCACCTTCGTTGAGCACAGTCATGGCAGTTTTACTCTTTGCTTCCAAACACACATATATTCAGTTATTTAAGTATTTTGAATTGACTTTAATGTAAAATGAATGCAGGCCAGATAGATGTGTTGTATATATATAGTGTTTAATATGCAATTATTCCTTAAATATTATCTATTGCTATATCTATATCTCCACTAATCAGCACACAACTAAAGCTTACTAACTGTTGGCTTCTTTTTTTAAGATTAAGTACTCTTTTGATATGACATTGGCAATTTTATTCCACTGCTTCTGTGGGCCTTCTTTATTCAATCAATATGAGCTAAACTTCTTAGTTTTAAAATATGGCTTTGTAAAACTCTGTTGTACTTAAATGGATCACTTATTGATCAATTTATGCAGATTTGGAGGATAGATTAATATTTTTTCTTAATACTGATGCAACTTTATGTTTGTAGAAAGCCTATCTGTAAAAAAACACAAAAACACATAGCTGACCTCAGTAAACTTCACTGAGTCTTGGTTATATGAGCAAAATTCAGTAACCATCTGTGCCCATTTCCCAGAACCTACTTAAATTATACCGTGATTGTAATTTCACTGAACAGAGTTCGTCTACACATGGGTCTCCCTGAAATCCTCCAACTGATTCGAGCAATGTAAAGTCTCCCCCAATATGCTTTTTGGAAAAGTATAGCACTCTTCTGGGCAAGGACGTCTTACCGAGTTCACAGCGGTCACCACTGTATCCTGGCACACAGGTGCACACATAGGAAATTTCAGTAGAATAGCAAGTGCCTCCATTAAGGCAAGGGTTCGTTTTGCAACGATCGGGTCCTTCATGTACAGGAAAGTAAGAAAAGTAATTAGGCTCATCTCTAACTTTCAATGTATTTTAGCATAAGATGCCCCTTATTGCTACCATAATATATAAGGTTTACCATAGCAACTTAGAGATACTACACATAAAAATTAACATTAACTTTACTCTCTGGAGTGTTTCTTGACATTATTAACAAAATGCTACAAATTGCATCTATTCATTTCTGGGATTCAATCATTATTATTTTAAACAATATTTTGTACAGTATCTGGCAACTAATATATTCTACTGCAGATTTAGTTGGCATGATAATGGCAATTGATTTTAGTCAAAAATGATTACACATATGTGCACAGTGAATGGAAATGTATTCTTTTAAACGAGGTTAGTTCATGTGAAATGGCTGGATACACAGAACATGCATTCTTTTTAGCAGATTGGCTTGTTACCATCATTTGAATTATTATTGCCTTTTACCACTTAATGCTCAGAAACTGTTTTTCTTCGAAAGTGTGCACTGAAGTCTCTTCTGCTACATTAATATGCTTTTTCCAAAAACACGTTCCAAATGTACTCCTTTAAACTATACTTGAAGAAAAGCAACACATGGATTAAACTCTACTGTATAAAAACAAACCCAAACACAAAAACCTCACCTAAAATGAAATCCCCAATTTTCATTACAGTTTTTCTCATTAAAACAAAAATAATATTAAAACCCCTAGCAGATAAATATAAAGTCCAGAGACACAAATTTATGAAGAGAAACAGTTTAAAATATGTTTACTAAATGCAAATACTTTTAGACTATTTGAAGTACATATATTATTCTGTAACAAGTCTTGGATGGTTGTTTTTACTTTTATAGCTTATATTTATGTGAATATTTTTCTAGAATTGCTTATTTCAAAATGTTCAGAAATCCATATTACACTTTAAAGTTTTATAAAATTGAGATACATGGTTATACATGGGCTACAACCTATTTTCAAGAATCCTAAGACCCAAAACCCTGAAATGATCACATGTGAAAAGATGTCTACTTATAAAACATGAACTTAATGACTATCAGGATATAGAAGATGAGTGAGTCTTTTCTACATATGAAAATCAAACTCAAACTTTCTGAGTGTTAAGCAAATTTGAAACTACTAGAAAGCTGGACAGATTCATAGTCGCTTTGTGTAGGTTCAACATTAGGTTAATTAGGTTAAATCAGATGCTTACACCTACTTCTCCAAAAGCTACTCCAATTCTTCTAAGACTTTTTCTCATATAGTCCTAACTATAAAAGCTCCCTATAGCCATTTTAGCCTTCTGTCTTTCCAAGTACTCTACCTAGATGATGAGGCTACAGTCCACAATGCATCTACATGTTGCCCTCAGTACAAAGTCAACATGACACTTAGGAGAAAGCGCTTGGTAAAACTGTGAAGCTCCACACACATGTGACGTACTAGTCCTGTTCCCACCACAGACATTAGATGCCACACTGAGTATGGAAAAAGGGGTTGGCAAGAAAGGGGGACTTTCTATGAACTTAAAGTAGCTTAGATTAGGAGAAAAGTTTTATTTTTATGATCTTCATTCTTCTCTACACAGTTTGAATTAATCTCTGAAAGTTGAATCTGCAGCAGATAAACCAGGCAATACAACATGAACAGCCGTTCACTGAATTAATCTAAAATGACAGTGTGTTTTGCAATGAAGACACAAACTCTAACTCTCAGTAAACAATGTGGACTGGATAACTGGTACACATTTTTTATTCATGTGTCAAACTTAATTCTCTCTCAATATATAGTTATTAGCAATGATTTTTACATCATATTTTCACCAACCTGAAGTATATTTTAACTAAATTACAAAAGAATAAATATTGGCCAGATTACTTGCTTATGATTTACAGATTGAATATAGAATGACGACAGAAACAAATTCATCAACCACATTTGATATATTTTATTCATAAAATAAGTCATTTATAAAAGTTGCACTTTATGACTATTTATCTGAAGCACAACAAACTAAAGCATTAGTGGCACAAAGGGTGATATAGAAACAATCAGAAGAATAATTCTAGGTATAGCCATGCTGTAAAGCATGCTCATTAAAATAAAACGTATTTTCAATCAAACAGCCTTTGAAGTACTGATTTTTTTTCTTTTCCTAAGTAGTAGCTGGATGGTGACAGTTATTTATAGATTCCACTGACATTGTTGTTCTCATAATATTCCTGGAAAACCACCATTACAGAGGACTTCTCTGTATTATCTGTCTAGATTAAAAGGAAAATAATTTTAAAATGTAAATATGCCAAGATTGATGGTTCACATATCATTAACTATCAATTATCCATTTTTATATTAATAGGAAACCATCAAAGATCAGTGGAAAGACCATGGACTTTGGAATTGGGCAGATCTGTGTTCAAATCTCACTTTTCCCATGGTGTGTGGGTGGGTGGGTCTGTGCAACCAGGGGCAAATTACAGAACCTCTCTTATAAATGGGGAGAGCAGTACATGCTGTACAGCTTTCTTTGCAAAGGTCAATTAAAAAAACAGAAATCCTCTTTCAAGACTAAATGCATACCCTGAATACCCAGTGTGTCCAGGCACTGTGTTAGAAGCACTATGTAGGCTATCTGGAGCAAGGACATTGAATAAAAATTGAAAAAACAAATATGAATGGAAAACTGATATTGCACAAACTATGTGAAATGCTTATTAGAGCTCTTCACTACTGTCAAAATTTAAAGGCCTGACAAACTTTGATATTGCCATATTATCGCTTATCAATGAGAGATTTTTGAGAATTTTTTTTCTTTTTAAAATTAACACATGTGGCTATGGAACGTATGAGAAAGTAATACTGTAGTTGTGAGTAAAATGAAAATTAACTTGTACACCACTAACATTTTCAATTTTTCCTTGGTGCAATTATACCCTGTTTCTAAAACACACAAAAATACAAAGCTCAGAAATTATCTATACTTACTTCCTTTGAATCTCATTATGGACTCAGTATTGTGGCCTCGCCTGCTGCTTTGTGAGCAATGTAGAAATCTCCCCTGATTTAACATCACAATAAAAACTACATACATATATGTTAGGGCCGAGGGACTATTTCCAGGTTTGGAAACAGATTCATCAATGTTGTGACCTTACCTGGTAAATAGACTGCTGTGCCTTCCACTGACTCTTCATTCATGTCAATCAGGAAACGGGTTTCATTAGAAGTTTTCAGAAAGTAAAGTGATGGTGTTGGAAGAGAAATATTGAACTCTGCAGTGTGTACTGTTGCCTGATTATTGGAGTCAAGAATTATCGCTGGTATGAGCTGCTCTGATGCTGCTACTGTGGAATCCTGCTCTCTGATCAAAGCTGCTTGTGTTTCAGAGTTTATTTCCAGAGAGGAAAGAGCAGTGGGCTTCCCAGAAGTCTGTGGGCTGGGCTGAGGCACCGCACCTGCCTCAGCCCCATAAGCTGCAGAAACAGAACTAGAGTGTGGCCACAGTGTAGCACCTTCTAACTTAATTTCACCTGCAGCTGTGACAATACTTCCAGCCTCAGGTGTTCTCTTACTAGAAAATACCTTGATCATTTCTCCAGAAAGTTGAACATTGGTTTTGTTTGGGGAATCCTGGAGAATCTCAGTTCCTTCTACAACAGTTAGTTCTGTGGGAGAAGCTTCCATTTGTTCTGATAGTGTAGATTTATTTTCAGCTTCAGAAAGCTCTAGTTCTGTGTCAGAAGGTAAGGAAGGAGGCTCAGTTATGTGAAAGTACTCTTCACTTGATGGTTTGAAATTCATTTCAATATTTGCAAATTTTCCTGGGGACATTCGAGATGTGCCCGCACCTACTCCAGGCAGAGCACTTGGCTGAGGGCCCTCTGTGTGTTCAGAGGCTCTGTTGCCTAAATGGACAGTGAACGGAGATGATGGAATCTCAGAGGACAACTTTTCAAAGGCCAAAAGTGATGATGTTGTATCGGTGTAATCTGGGGGATTAGATTCTTCCACCACATTAGGTGCTTCTGTTAAACTCTGAGCCATAGGGTGGACAGTACCAATACTTACGTGGGGGGTAGAATCTGTTGGTGCCTCCCCAGCTCCTGAAGAGAGCTCTGGCTGAAAAGAAGGGTCTAGATATTTCTTTTCCTCATACTCTTCCTGTGTCCTTTCCAAATGACCCAATGTTGATATTACTTCACTTTGGTCTGCAATAGCTTGACCATCAGACAAAGTGCTTGATTCAAAGATATCTTCCAGGGCTTTTGCTTCAGTTTTTGGTTCTTCAGTATTTGGATGAACTGTGGCAGACTTACTAGGAATGGGCAGGGATGTTGCTGTGGGAAGTAAAATATCTAATTCTGTTTCTGTGCTTGGGATGGGGATCTCGGTTGTTAAGATAAAGCCCATGGGATCAAATTGGTTTCTGTCTTCAGAAGTCATGGATTCATTATGCCCTACCTGAGTATAAATAGCCAGAAGACTATCACCAGAACCTTCTAAGTTTTCCTCAGTTAAGGAAAGGTTAGCAGCTGCCTCGTACTTCTCTTGAATTTGAGCACTTTCTTCAGTATTGCCATGTGGTCCTGCCAGTGTCTCTGGATCTATTTCCGTTTGCATTCCAAGGATGTCTTCATACACAGGTTTAGTATGATCAATATCTATGATAGTATTTTTATCCGATGTCAGCCCAGGTAGAATGTCAAGGACAGTGCTCTCTGTAATTGTCAGTAATAAATCCTTTTCCTCTTTGTCCAGATCTATAATAATATTTTCAGTGGCTTTTTTTCTGTCAGGTTTCAAGGTGGAATCCTCAAATCCCCTGTAATGGTCTTGGAAACTATCTGCACCTTCTGTGGACCTCTTATATGACATTGTATTTGATGGCGTGGTAGTTGGATCTGTGGAGCTTTCGTTCTGCTCTAAGTGAAGAGGCATCACCACCGAAACTGTTGGGAATCCGTCAGCATTAACAGCTTTAGGACTTGAGACCTCAGGATATTTTTCCAGGGATCTATTAGAAACAAATGTGGTGCTTCCTTGCCTGGTTGCCTGAGTAGTTCCAGAAGTGTGGACTAAATCAACTATATCCAATTCCCCAGATCCTTCTCCAGAATGTTCATAAAACAAGTCAGATGGTTTTGGTGCTGATGTAACAGATCCTTTGGTCATTCCAAGACCATAAGTTCTAGCCAGAAAATCAGTGGAAGAGGTTGTTGTCTCCCTAGTTTCTGCTACTGAAGAATTCTTGTTAGAGACTTCTTCAAGAGTGAGTTGTGGTTGGCTACTCTGAATTTCTTCTTCCCAACTGTGAGTCTGATTTTGAGGATGTTTAGTGTCTGCGAAGAAAGTGAGAGTTGCTATAGAGGGTCTTTCTGTCCTGGTGTCACTTAAAATTTCTAGTGAGGTTGTGCTGGATGCTGTTTCACTATCTTCAGAGATGCTGTCTGTTTTAGAAAAGGGTGATCTAACCTCCTTTGCTGCATTTTCCATTCCCTCATAGTCTTCAGTGGTATCACTTGAGATGCTAGTTTCTAAACTTTCCACTTCAGAAGTCTGGGGATATAATGTGCTAATGATTTGTTCCATTTCAGTAAAATCCACTGATATTTTAGTAGGCAAAACTTCTTCTCCTGATCCCAGGCCAGAGAATACATTAGTATCTGACTCTTTAATTATTGGTCTCGTAACTTTGGGAAATCGTTTGATGTTTTCTTCCTGTTTGATTGATGAATCTGTAACTATGCTTTCAGTTAATATAGATTCAGTCACTGAGGCAGTAGCTAAGAAAAACTGGGATTTTTCAGGAACTTCAGGGAGAATAGTATAGGGTTCCACATCCTTTGAACCTGGATGTGGAGTGGACATGTCAACTAAGGAAATGCCTTCCTCCTCCTCCATTTCTTTATCAGTATGATACGTTTTCTTGGTTGTTAGTGTAGAATAATCTGCAGTTCTAAATCCAGTTTCAATAAATGTTTGTGAATCAAAAATTGTCTGTTCTGGTGCAACAGAGCTTTGAGAAGATTCCAAAGATTTTTGATCTTGAGTCTTTTTCTCTGATGCTGTTTTGTTTTCAACTTCTTGTCTTACAGGATTCACTTCTTGCCTGGACCACAGTTTGGTTGGCTCCATCGTCTGGGAAAAGTCTGTTGAAACCAAGCCATCGACATTTATCTCCCCCTTTTCTGTTGAAGCTTCAGTACTTTCAGATTCTGCTCTTGGTAAAACAGTGGATCTCTCGTCAGCTTCCTCGATAGTACCTTCCTCTCCTGAAACTTGGTAAATAAATGGGGATTCTGTACCAAGAACACTTCCCACTGCACTGGAAAACACTTGGTCAACAGAGCGGTTGACTGAGACTACTTGCTCCCCGGAGCCCTCAGCTGAAGCTGTAAACTCCTCCCAAGGGTAGGCTGACGTGCTGACCAAGGTGTTACCAGGTCCTTCTGTGTCAGCTCTGTGATGGATGTGAGCGGAAGTAGGTATTGCTGATGGTAAAATTTGAGTATCTTTAAACGCCGCATCTCCAGAGCCTTCCATCATCACTGTTTCTTCTTTTGTTACAGGATTAGATACTGATGAGTATTCTCTAAAGTCACCACTGTAATCTTCCTCCAAAGGAAAATCTGTAGAAAAGCCCTTTATTTCCATCCCATGATCTGGCTCTCCTAAAATCTCTGATACAAGGTTTTTCTCAGATGTTTGGCTGATAACTTCAGTAACCTCTCTGTCCATCACTAGTCCTGTTGGCTCAAAAGGGAATATAGTTTCTACATGGGGAGACGAGGTGCCAGCCATTTCTTTTATAATTTGAATTCCAGGCTCTAAATGTAATGAAAATGAAGAGACAGTGGTGGTCCCTAGGTCAGCAGCAGCTTCTCTAGAGCTCTGCTCCGTAAAAGTAGGGGAGGGGTTACCCAGGATGGAGAACAGCCCTTTCTGAACCCCAAATTGACTGCTACCGCTGGGCTCACTCATCTCTGCTCTCAGATTGTCTAAAACATTTGCTTCTGTAAAGACAAGATTAGATCTCGTCATTTCCCTTTCAGACTGCGTGGGTGTTGTCAAGGATATAAAACTGTTCCTGGTAGCAGATGCTGAATCACTAGAGGTAGCTTCATTTGAGTTTTCTAATTCAGAGGGTAAAATTAATTGATCTGATCTCTGTGTGAGCAAATGTGGCTGAACTGTAGTCATTGTACCTACAGTTCCCTCCTCCTCATCTTTCCTATGCTTTCCCTCAAGAGAGGTACTGAAATCCCAATCAGAAGTGTCTGCTTCTCTTACAAATTTGGTGGGTACTACTTCTGTAGAAGGTTGTTCAGAAACCAAGTAAACAGCAGTTGCAGGAACATCAAAAATGTTGTCTGTGATTATTATCTTGCCAGTGTCTAAAGTAACTAGAGTATCTGTAGTATTTCTCTGTGACAAATCAGTTACCACTGTGAACATTTTATCTTTATCTTCTTCTGCTTCCCCAGAGCCATCTGGAATATGAATCGAAGGACTCCCAGAGAGCTCTACAATTTGCCCAGAGGTTATTTCCAACCAGTTTCCCACAGTGGACAATGGGTCAGCAGTCTGGGTCTTTCCTGCTAATGTAACAGATTCTTCCTCCAGAACATTTGTTGACATAGAACTTGGAACTGTACTTGGGGTATATATGATAGAAGTACTTTGTTCTGCTTCTTCACCAAATGTTACTTCTGTAACCCTTGGAAAGATCATTTCTGGGGATTCTGTGTCAACGGCAACATCTCCTGAAGACTCTTCAGGAAACAGAGGTACAGGTTCAGTATGATCAGGTACCAGATGATCAAGTTCAGGACCTTTCTCCGTGGCAGATTCTGGTCCCTCTGTGGCTTGTCCCTCATGCACTGGGACTGTGGGGAACACATCAGGCTCACCACTTGAAAAACGTTCTGGTGTTTCAGGGTAAATCTCAGGCTTCCATGTCATTTCAAGCGATTCAGTTGTTTCTTTAGATTCATTTGGTTGCACAGCAGTAGATGATCCAATTTCAGCCATGAGAAAAGGATGAGCATCACTCTCACTGCTGTCTGAAAAATTCTGAGAAGGTGCAACACTTTCAAACTGGCCACGCCTGGCTTCTGCTGCCTCTGGGTCCTTGGGCACTGTGGTGACTAGGTGTTTCCCATTTATGTACTGCACTGATGGGGTGGTTGTTAGGTCAGTAGCATTTGCACAGTCCTCGTCTTCTTCTTCATCTTCTTCACTGTGGTACAGATCTAGGTCAATTAACTCGGGTAAAATTGCAGCAATTAGGTCGTGCTCTGAATCTGTTTCTTCACTACAAGGTTCATCTTCTTTAGATTCTGAATCTATTGGATGACCAATTACACTCAAATCACTCATTCGACCTGAAAAAAACAAAGAGTTTTCACAATACTTAAATAAAACAGGTGGCAGTGTATGACAGAAGAAACTGATAGCAAGGCTGGCAGATTACATTCACACACAAGGAAGGGTTCAAATCTTTCCACATGAAGTACAACCACTCTTCTATACATGGTCCCCAGTCTTCAGATTTTCTGTTTTATATCAATGATAAGGAAAATAAATCCAATTTGAGAGTATAAAAACAAGGTATGAAAACTCTGACATGTTTTACAAAGCAGTGTCCATAAAATGAAACAAGCAATCACATATATACATTATAAAAGTGAAATATGGAAATCCATCTTTGTGTGAACTGAAAAGAAAATTAAAAATTAAGATCATTTCACTATGTCATTCAGAAAAAGCAATTGGTTATTGTTCTTTATGTAAGGGGATCTCTAGTGATCCTCTATTCAATAACAAAATGCGAAGCGATTCCTTTTGGCCTTTTGTCATGATTTGTCTTAAGAAGACTGTCTTTAGAAAAGTAGAGAAGTTTCTTTCTAGCCCTTTTACAGTGCAGTGAGAACCCCTCCCCAAAGCAACAGTGAGAAAAGACTTGGTGTGAAAAGGTGCCCATGGGTGCAGCGACCTTGAGGAAGACAAAGCAGAACCCAGGGACTGCACAGAGTCTCACCCTCCTGCCCCCAGAAACATGGCGCAGAATTATTTTCAGCCTAGCCCGGATCCCTGCCACACATGTTCAGGCTGAAGGTGCTCAGGAGGAACCTGAGAAGATCACAGGAAGAATCATTCCGATGGAGCCACACCTGACCCCCATGGTAAGGAGATAGTTCCTGTTGCAAGAAGCCGCACCCTTCCACGTATGAAAGGATCAACATCTAGCCCTTCCTGATGGTCAGAAAAGACCCTACCGACAAGGAACCGGTATTGCCTGATTCTTTATGTATCAACATAAATATAGATATATATGAATGATCAATAAAGACTCTACAAAGCTCCTTCTATATTTTTAACTATAGTTTGTTTAAAAAAAACAAAAAGAACAAGACCTTCATGTAGCTAGAAGACATTACTACATTTACATTTATTCCTCTCACTAATAAAACAAAAAAGAAAACTTCTCTGTATCCCATCTTACTGTATTGTCTCCATGAAAGACCATTTGTGTAGGGATAGCTCACTCTTACCCAGATTACACGTCCTTTGTCGTGAATTTCACACATTTCTTATGTCTCAACCCCATTCCGTGCCACACACCCATCTTTTCAACTATGTAAGCAAGGCTCATGGGTATTCAAATGAATGAAAAAAATTCTACCATAAGAGAAGTGAGGTAAATGCCTGACTCTAGTGCATCATAAAAATACAAAGTGAATACTGATGATTGCTGCCATAGCTGATGCAGCTTCTAATTGCCAACCAAGAAAATGACTAAATGCCTTATCTTTTTTCAAAAAGTGTAATTAAATGAATAAGCTTGTTCAGTATTAGATCACTGAAGTTGTTACAGTGATCTTATAGTGCCCCAGACTGTGTATGTAAAAGAGGACACAATAACTTACAGATAACAACACTTTTAATAGGTGAAGCCGACCTGTCACTGTAAAAAAAAAAAAAGAGAGAGAGAATTCATATGCACATGCATTTATATGTCTGTGAGACAATGCATTTTAAATGCCTTTTATACAAATGAATCTCAGGAAATGTCACATCAATAATTCTATCTAATCACCAAATTAAGTAGCTTCTCACTGCTAATACTATTTGAATATAGTTGAGTTAAGCTAGACTCTGTTAAACTATTCCATACTTCATAGGATTTAACTGGAGCTTCAAAAATGTGCCTATCTTAATGTTTACAGTACATCTGTTTTACCCTCAACCCTTTTCATTAGGTGTCAACAAAACTAGAATTCAAATTATGTATCACACACACAGACACTAAATTCACATAGCACCTTTCATTTAAATACAGAAAGAATTTTAAATAAGAAACATGAATCTGTGTCTTGAATATAAAGAATCACCACCACATTTTTTGCCTTTTTATAAATAATGGAGATAAAACTAATCATTCAGCCAAGCTTCTCCTGCCAAACACAAGGACCAATAAGGAACTAACTGTTCAATACCATTTATTTATAAACTCTTAGACCAGGAACAGGATAAAAGCACTCATTGTAATTATAAAATCTCTACGAGCTTCTAAATATATTTCTTACTTCTAAAAATAATGTTTGAAAAGCCTAAACTGACATAAAGATATTCCATGAACTTGTTAGTGAATAACTATAGAGAGAAGTTCCATCAGGTATGGTGTTGGCAGCTCTAAAAATAAGCAGAGAGAGAAGATGCTAAGGTTGCCAGGATGTCAATGTGTCAAAGAAACGGACACATGTTCACCTAATGTTTCACAAAAGAATGAATACTTAAAAACAGAATGGTTTTAAAGAACACTAATTGAGAATTGACAACTTATATAATAATTTCACTGACTATCAACTCTTATTATATCTACTTAATTCATTTATATTCAGCAAATTTAGCTCCAGTGAACAAAGCATAACATTCTTGGACTCCATTTTCCACTTGGATAATGAATTCTAACATTTCTTATTACTGATAAATCTATGAAGGTTTCCCTGGGCACATTACACCATAATACCAGAATATTTTGCCAAAAGACTCAACTATTGAGTGTGGTATATCCCATTTTGTAATCTAAATAGATATCACCATATTTCAATCACAGCAATACAAACATTGCAGAGAGATGGCCTTTCTGTACCCTTTACAAACACAGCTCGACTGCACACTGGTTTTGCACATAGAATTTAATTAACTACCACAACCATACCTGCCACCCAATTGTGTTATCTCTTCAGGAGCCAACTGACTGCACAGAACTGACTGAGCACCGATTATGTATCAGATGGTATAGCAGACACCTGCTCACCAACTTTATAGAGAACTAAGACTTCCAAGTTATCTTCCAACTCCTTCTCTCTCTCTCTCTCCTGAGTATGTGTCTGACTCTGCTCTCTCAAAAACAAATGCTCTTGCCAATAGATTAGAGACGTGGCCTAATTAAACTCCTTTTACTATATTTTTAAAACAAATATTTTGAGTGTACATGTCTGAAACATTACATTTAAATTACAATTTCTTTTTTCACCTGCATCCCAAGTATCTGATCTCACTTGCCTTCAGGATAGTAGAAAACATAGAATCATTTTAAGCTCTTTTATGCTTCTCACTATACCACAAAGCTGGCAATGACCAAAGAACCATAAGCACATGATAATGAACAGTGACTGAAAAGGAAAAATTTATTACGAAGTGTGCTCATTTGATGTTATAAAAATGTTTCACTAAATGAGAATTCTTAAAGAAAACAAAGATATACAATAACAGTTGGAATTACTTTCTGTCCTTTTTCTTAAAGGAATATTCTCACAATTAACCTATGAATATTCATTGTTTAAGTAAGTTTACTCAACTTCCAAATGGTTTCATTGGATTTCTTAATATCATTGTAAGGGTAAGGGAAATGTTCAGTGCCTAGGACTCTGAAGTTAATTTTTTCTGCCAACAGATTCTCCACAGAAATTTATATTTTATTCTCTTAGTGTAGTTAATTGCTCTCATACTTTTAAAAGTCCCACAAGGGTATGGTGGTGAAGTCTGTCTAGCAGAGACAGGTGAAGTCTTTCTTGCCACAGGCGCTCCCGACATTGCCACCTCACATCCAATCCCTATTCCTATTTGCTCTATTGTGTCTCTTCAGTTGCCAAAATTACTTCTTCCTCCCCCTTTTTTGTTGCCACCTCTCACCTACTACACATGTTATCAGAAAGCTGCAAAAGCTGCAATCATCGAAACTTAGAAAAGTTTCTTTGTAGGATATGGTGGTAGGGTGAGGTTGGGGGTGAACACCGGTGCTGTTGTGAAAGCAGGTATATCATTCCAAAATTGTGATCTGCTCTATTTTGTACTAACAGTGCAACCTGATGGAGCAATTAACATTCCCACCTCTTAGATGAACATGTCTTTATAAAAGACTGCTCTATTTCAGAATTTTATTCTAAAGGTAATATAACTTTTATTTGGATTTTAAGAGCCAAACCACAGAACTCTACACAAGTGTACGTATAATCTTTTCTATGTTTATATGAATGTATTTTAACAGCTTGACTTGAATAAACTGGTACCATGGTTAATAGATTTTTTTAGTGGTCTTTCACACCAAGCTTTATTGCTAGCTGACCTCAAATTATTCACCAAGTATTTTTAAGTGCTTCATGGCAGAGTTTTGTAGATGTAGCACAAGCCCTCCAGTCAGACTTTTAGCAGGCACAAGACACAGTTGCTGAGATGCACAGGCCGCTCGCTAACGTTCATGTTCTCTTCAGGGGGGTTGACAATTTAAGTTTAAGGGCTTTCAGTTAAATATAAGCATATAGCAATCTACTCAGGAGAAATAGAATAAGCAACAAAAAGTCTTGTTTTCTTGTATTAAAAACACAATAGACAGCCACACAGAAGGATGTGAGAAATACCTATAGCATTTAAGTAGAAAAAACTTGAAGTTTTTAAATATGTTTAGGTTTTCTAGCACACACCTATGAGATCTAATAACCACTCCAAAACGAATGCTTCAATTTCCTTCACCTTTGATATGTTCTTAATTAAAATTAAAAGCTAACTTGCTTCCTACAAAGCAGAGTAAACCACCTAACATGAATTTCAACCGGATTATCTCAGATATCCTACATTCTTCAACATTTTAAAGATTTGAGACACTAAAAAAGGTGCCAACTCAGGATATTTTAAAAAAATATTGACATAGTAATCAAGATATAAACATCCTCCCCAAACCTTGTCAGATATTTTTGCATCCTTAATTACCTTAATGATTGAAAACAATGTGATAATTATATCAATATTCAATTTCCCAGAGGTGAGAGAGATTGAACTAAAGGTTAGGAGACCAATATCGATTCTGTGACCCATCTCT